AATGACGAAAAATGTGATTAAAATCGAAGCAATCCCAACAGTACGAAGAAACGAAAGTTTCACATTTCCGGATATAAAAGTATTTGGTTGATTATTTTACACTGTGAATGCAGCTCTGCCTTGCTGTACATAACGTGGTGGAGAGAATGTGTCCTGGGGGGTGTTGAGGGGCTTGCCCCCCATCAACCCTCCCCTCCGGCACCCCTAGTCACAGCAATTTATAATATATTAGGTTGGTTTATTGGTCAAATCGTTTTTGGGGGGGGATTGGAACGTGTTAATTCCTGTAGAGTTTTCCCGAAATGTGGGTTGGGTTCCCGAAGAGTTTTTGATATCTGGTGCGTCAGCCCGTAAAATTTCAAAGATGGCAGTTAAATGGGTAGCGTTTCATTTGCCGATTTTGAGCATTTTTTGTGCTAGTTTTATGCATTTTTGATCTATATTATTCTTGTTTAAGCTTGTTTTACCCCATAATTTCCTTTACCCCATAATTTACTTCATGCCCTCCCCTGCTAACGGGACTATCAAATCAAGATTATCGATGGAGAAATGGTACTCGATCTCCTGAACGATTCGTTCGCAGAAGAAAAACCGAAAGTCGATTAAATCATAGGATTTCATGGTTACGGTGACTGGGCATGTCCTTCAGGCACTGCCAGAGGGGAGGGTTGATGAGGGGCTCTGCCCAACACCACCCTGGGAAACATTCTCTTAACCTTGGTATGCACGGCAAGACGAGATCAATCAGTTCAGAAAATTACAGCACTTTTTACAGTTTACAGAATGAGGCAGGTCACTGGTGTAGCCAGAAATGTGCATATTAAATATTACCTGTATTTGAATAGTTTGACAATTAACGATATTAAGGAGTTAGCCAAAATTGAGGATCAAAATACGCACATTTTAAAAAGGGGCTGAAACTTGAATATATATGAAACGTTAGTCAATAGTCGTGTGAATTTTTATGATACAGTAAATGGAATATTGTACTTGAACTTTAATTAGCAATTAAAAATCTCCACTAAACTGAGGTAGTGGTGACATAGGTCCACAGTAGGGCAGAAGACACTCTGCGAGCTTTGCGGCAACTTATTCTTTCGCGCCGAGCGAGTAGACTCATACGGTGATCCTTATGGTAGTTTAAGATGCGGTTCACTTACTCATTCGTTCGTGCAACACTGTCGAATCATCCGAGGCTGTAACTTGTCTTGGGTGTTTACATTTTACATTTTCTTTGTCATATGAAATACTGGTAATTGTTAGAGCCCGACGCATCCTCCTAGAAACTATGTTCCAAATGGGGGGGGGGGGGGGGGTCCTCACAGACTAATTTCCTAAGGGAGGAGGGGAGGAGGGATGAAGGGGAGAAAGTGAGTTCACTAAAACCACTTAAACATCTATAAAAATTGTAATATGAAAGATGAGGCTAAACTCATGTCATGGCAACAATAGAAAGGCCGTAAAAAAATGAGCGGTATAAGTTACAGACCGCGACGTGCGTAGATAGAGGAAAAGGGACACCACCATCTTATAGAACGGGAAAAATAGAAGGGGATAGCGTATAGTTTAAGATGCACCGGCCTTGTAGTCACCGCTAAATGACGAAAATATAACGCACGGCCGCCTTTCAAATTCAAAGTCAATGAGCTTGTTTACCTTGCGAGGAAAAACACAACTGACCCACGAACGCCTTTTTGCGTTCTCGAACTAGTCTATCATTACGCGCTTGTCAAAACGATATTTGGCTAATTGTCTGTCTGCTGGTACAAATTTATACACTTAAAGTCTTTTAGTAATGTTATAATACTTCAATTGCATATTTTTATATTTATCTATACCCTCATATCCTGCGCATCGAGTGTTTCACACTTTCTTACGCCAGCCACAGGTTGAAAGCTCACCATACCACTCATTTCGAGATTGAAAGCCGGTGAAAACGTTGCGCTTCCAGTGTTAGTGTTGATTCTGGGTTCTTTTTAAGACCTTTACAGTGGCATCGAAGAATAATTAGACTTCGGTAACCATTCCAGTTTTATATCTGAGCCCATCAAGAGCTCCAAAGGATGAAAAAGGTGATTAAAATCAAAGCAATACCAACAGTACAAAGAAACGAAAGTTTCACGTTTCCGGATATAAAGATATTTGGTTTATTATTTTACGGTGTGAATGCAGCTCTGTCTTGCCATACATACTGTGGTGGAGAGAATATGTCCTGGGGGGTGTTGGGGGGCTTGTCCCCCATCAACCCTCCCCTCGGGCAGTGCCCGAAGGGCACGCCTAGTCACGGCAATTTATATTGATATATTAGGTTGGTTTATTGGTCAATACGTTTTTGGGGGTTGGAACGTGTGAATTTCCGTAGTTTTACCGAAATGTGGGTTGGGATCCCGTAGAGTTTATTTATTTCGCGTCAGTCCGTAAACTTTCAAAGATGGCGGTTACATCCTTAGAGTTTCATTGGCCGATTTTTTGTGCTAGTTTTACGCATTTTTGATCGTTCTTATTTAAGCTTGTTTTACCCCATAATTTCCCTGATATACTTCATGCCCTCCCCTGCTAACGGGACTATCATATCAAGATTGTCGATGGAGAAATGGTACTCAATCTCCTGAACGATTCATTCGCAAAAGAAAACCCCGAAAATCGATGAAATCATAGGATTTCATGCAGAAAAACATCATTTTTTTCGACTTGGTCTCTGAGAGGGTGCGTCGCTCTCTAACAATTACTAAATGAGCTAAACTGTCAGACAGACACCAAATGAAATACCGCTAAAGTAAACAATCGCAACTCGCAATGCGTACTAACCCGATATCCTATATACAAATATAAAATGTTATGCTAACCGAAATAACGAACAAATATCAAATTAATTCCCACCCCTCCGCTTATTTGCACGATGTCAATTTATTTTAAAAATTATTAAACAATATACAACTCATACTGTCACTCTACAGACGAGATGCGGTCTGGAGGAACTAATGAAATCTTTTACTCTCCGCCGGATACAATATTTTTAATGTGTGCTTGGCAAAGTACCCGGCGAAGTGAAATTGCATCTAATTTTTCTATCATCATTTTTTTTTTTTTTTTTGGGGGGGGGGGGGGGGGTTGTCGCATCTACATGAATATTATAAAATCTTCAGCCGTCGTTGCATTTGGGGCATTTAAGGGTTACCGATATCAGGGCATGCAATCGGCATATTCCTCCACGAATTGCCAGTACCCACCATAAAAAAAATATTTTTGAGTAACACTATTGATCCACTATGATAAAAGATGCACTATTTTTTCAATTATCTTTATAAATATAAAATACTTATAAATATAAAAACATTGAAACATATCTAACTTACCACATGTCACACTGCACAGAAAAATTGCTAGGTCCTTACACGTCAAGAGCTTACCGGAAAGTGTTCAAGGGAGGCAATTAAGGTAAAAAAGCAGTAACGTTGTTACATTGTTAACAGTGAATCTACGTTATAACAATTATAAATCATAAAATAGATACATTTCAAAGAACAATACTTAAAATATATGAAAATAAAAGGAAGAGACGAAATGTTAGTACAAATAGGATTAAATAATGGATCAAAATATTAGTAATCGGTAATACTTCCACTTTGGTTAAAAGTATTGCAAAGAAAACCTGACATTCATAGAAAATGCAGTTATAGAAAATTTAGACAAACAAGAAATCTGCCTGTAGGAGGTTGATTTGCACCTCTTCTCTGCGCAGAGCTATGTGCCGTGTTTTTTTTCCATTTAACGGTAAATATGAGTCCGGCGCAACTTATACTATGTTCCATCCCACTATTTTTTTCCGCTCTATAAGATGGCGGTGTCC